ATTATTCATATACAATGTAATTTAAAAAATCTTAGTTAAATTTAGAGATCCTGACAAAGTCAATCAATCAATCAATTATTTATTTGCAAATACAGGTGATACAAAGGTGTTAAATTATAATTAATAAACACATAGTGTACATCCATTTACACAGATTTGTCCTCTAAGAATTCCTTAATACTATAAAATGCTTTTTTAAGTAACATATTCTTTAATTTAGAGCGAAATATATTGGGGCTTTCAGTTTTTCTAATTTCAATTGGAATTTGATTATATACCTGAGGTGCCATACAAAGTACACTATTATTCATAAGCTTTTTGTTAGATGGTAAACAAAGTCTGGTTTCGAATCTTCTACTATTAAAAGTAACATATAAGTGTAAATCGGCTCTAACAAAAACAGCAATTTCATATATGTAAATACATGGCAATGTCAAAAGTTTTAATGATATAAAATGCGGTTTACAACTGTCAGTTTGCTTAATTTTACAAATAGCCCTTATACATTATTTTTGAGCTATATATGCATATTCTTTGTAGATGCTACATTCGCATGATACGCTTTTAATATTGTTGATATATGGACCACCTTACCGAGCCTGTATAGAACATAGGAGAATTTACTGAGTTTAATATAAACACTCTCAATATAAATAAAGTCCATGGACTATGGTGTAAAAGTCCGGACATGTCCGGACTAATCCGGGCGGATGGTAACCCTAGGCGCGCCTGATAGTAAGTGGCCACCATAGACTATAGATGCTTGCAATACCAAACATATCACTCGCACCATTTGGAAAAACTATTCTTTAAAATCTAAAGAAAAGTTTACTAGAAAAAATTCCACGCGGACCAGGCAGCAGGCAGAGACTCGAACCTACCTACCTAACCAAACATCTATCAGATAAATGCTTAAAAAATCCTAAACAATACTTATACAGTGACAGGTGTCAAGATAAGTTTTGTTTCACACATGTAAAATTTTTTCGAGCTTACCATTCAATCCAGCAAATGAAATTAGGTTCTTCTGTTTATCAATGAACATTACATAAATTAAAATTCATAAATGCATTAGGCTATATTTTTGTGGTAACTATTAAATACAAATTTTTCGTGTTAAGGTGATCTTACTGGGCACATTTGTGTTCAATAAGAATTTCCTTGACACAAAAAATGTACTCTTAAATTCAAGCCGCTTAGAAAAGTTACTTGTATAATTATCCTCATTGGATCTACATACAACTATGTAGTAATATATTATTATTATATTATATTTTTTTCTAGTAAACTTTTCTTTAGATTTAAACATCTAGCAGTTAAATGCTTAAAAAATAAATAAAATCATAACTATAATTGCTATTTCTTCTTTCAAATGTTTAATACTTGAAAAAGTATTCATTTGACATTGTGGGTTACCTACAATGCGAAGGGATGGCGCTGCCTTGCAGCTTAAGGCTAGGAAAATTTCGACGCGGCTAATAGGGCCGTGGTAGCATAATGGTCAGTGCATTCGCCCGGATAGCGAAGGATGCGGGTTCGAGTCCCGTCCGCTGCCTGGTCCGCGTGGATTTTTTTCTAGTAAACTTTTCTTTAGATTTAAACATCTAGCAGTTAAATGCTTAAAAAATAAATAAAATCATATGTAGTAATATGCTATGAACCTTTCGTGGGGTTGACAGAGCATAAAAGGTGCAAAGCCGACTCATAAATATATCTTCGAATAATCACTACTCATCTTTACTATTTTCTTTTATTAACCAACAAAAACTTTTTTTAATCTACATTCATAATGAATGTACCCGTATTATGATTCCTATTGGTAGAGTGGGAGGCCACTGTAATTGTAGAGCGCTGTCTCGCTCGGACAGCTGTTTTTGAATCGCGATGAGATTTGATAGTATGGTCGGGTGACACAATCGTTAATATTTAGCCGAGATCAACTGCGGAAGTCATCAGTACACTCGCCTCATCTGTTCTGGACATCATTTAACTTGTAATATACTTAATGCTAGTGAGGTCAACGCACCTAAGTTGTACCAAATAAATACCATTTTGATTATGTAGATTAAAAAAAAAAAGGTTTATGTTCAATTGAAAAAAAGTGCCACGGGAACTTGTGCAGATAAAGTGTGTTGTGGTATGGCAGAGCTAAAACGAAAAAGATTTTTATTTTCTTCGAATATAAATATTAATCTTCATAATATACTTTATGTATGTAAAATACTTGATTTCCAATACGACGTTTCACATCCCTATTTCACTCCCCAACAAATTTTAATTTCATGATAAAAAGTAGACTTTGTCTTTCTTTAAGTTCCTCTTTATGCCTATACCAAAATACATCTTATTCGGTTCAGCGCCTTAGAGTAAAACTGTTCCAGGCAGGGGCAGATATTTCTTTGATATAACATTGGTTAGAAGACATAACTTTTGTGAAATAGGCTATATATCAAAAGTGCGTCCGTGAGAGATAGGGACATTATTATGAACTTTATTATCCACTCTTTAAAAATACTAGTTTTGGCATAGATCGGGTTTTTTGTGGTTTCAAACCAATACTACTAATAATACGTGACTGAAATAGTATCCGAAACTACTCTGTCAGTTGACAGACTTTTGCTGTCTACGTGCAAAACAATTATAGATATTATGTTGTAATATTAAATGTTTAATATTAATTCCAGTCATGTGAATTATTTATCAATGAACAATATCAAATAAACAATAAAAAGGTGACATTAGTTTATTTGATTACTACATACATGTTGATAAGTTTTCTGTTTAAGTTTCTGTTATCTTTAAATAATGGCAGGCATTTAGATTGTTAACTAATCGTGTTCTAATTAAATTCTAATTATTAGTTCTTAATAAATGGTATCCGTTACGCAAATAATAATCATAATATACACATCCGTACTCTTGGCACATTATTATCGAATACCACTGCAACTTGTCTGCCTTAGCTTATGTTAAAAGTATTTTTAGTTCTTATAACTACAAAAAAATATTGAACAACATAAGGTGAGGCACTTTATTCTGTAATTTATAGTTAATTTCAAGGAAGGGGGTTCATTAACATTATGATTTTTTGTGTGATTGTAATATGAATTATAAATATTTTATTTTTATGAAATATGAATCAGTTCACCCGATATCTAAAAATATGCCAAAGTATAAAAAAATAACGCAAACAATCTTCGTAGCTAAGATAATATTTTTCCTTTATTATTGTCTGAGAAAATAAAGATATTATAGTCTTAAATATCCGTTCATTGTGAACAATTACTTATCATTTATTTAGCTTTTATTGATACTATATTAAGTAAGGTAAAATCACCAGTAATTGCCACACACTGTAATAGAGATATTATTGAATTGGATTAAGTACGACGATACACAAAACAATAGAAAACCTTAAATATAATATCACTTAAAGAAATAATTATTAAATACAGTTTTTTTTTATATTACTCATATTTTGATAGTACTCATATTTATGTTCTGATCACTAGAATTTTAAATAGCCCAGTGAAATTTCATGTTATAATATAATGAAAATGATTTTTTATCATTTTGTAATCGTTTTTCAAATAGCTTATCCTAAAACTGAAATCACTTTTTTGTATTGAGGTACTAATATTGTTTTGCTACAGAAATACGTAGTCATTGACTGCAAGTTTCAAATTTGTCATTAGGAAAGTTTTAAGGGGTCATCAACCTCGAAAGCGACATCTGTTTACAGTGAGTTATGCTTACTCATTAATTAAATGCCGAAAACATTCAAATCTCGATATTTAAAGATGATGGTCACTTTAAAATAACAATTTATAACTCTGATATAGATATATCTTAATACCTTACTTTTTTGGTTGTATCATAATAATTTAATTTCTCTTTGAAATGGATTAGTTTGGTATATGCAGGAGAGTAGCTAAAGTTAATAAGTATTTCTACCTGATAAAGAGTAAAATAAATATAGCCAATCTTAAAAGTGATACACTCAAAAGATAAACAAAAAATACTTACAAATAACTCTAAAAATTTTGACAAAAGTTTTCCTTGATACTTGTTGGTAGTTCTTATTTTTTTTTCATCAAAATTTTTGACTAAACTTCAATGATACTTAAATCAATTTTTCTTATTATCCATCACACTTTTTATAATTTAAACTGTTTCACGTGGAAATACTACGATTTTTATGAGCGTAAATTTTTGCGGAGTCTGCGGCCGTCTCTACCGCGGAATTAGGGTAATCCGTCCGATAATTGACACTGATCAATCACTGAGCCGATTGTTTCACCGATCGAGCACTGAGACATCGACGCGACGCGACTCGATGCGGGCCGCCGCGAAAATACCAAACAATTTCTGCCCAATTAAACTTGGAACACAATTAATATCCAAACAAATTGATTATGTGATTACATCATTACACTAATCAACGTTAACCTCAGGCAATGTGAGATTTTTGGAAATCGTCACATTTTTCAAAAATAGAATATTCGCACAGAATAATATTTTACTCATTCTCCTTTAGGAAAAATAATAGTTCGTTACTTTTTTTTATATGAAATTTCACATTGGTACTTGTTTAACTTTTCCCGATTTGATAAACGTCTCTACATGTATAGCATTAAGATTTGGTCTTAAGTTATTTGTTTTTTTTTACCGTTTCAAAGTTCTTGGCAAAGTTTGTTTAATCCTATTTAACTGTAAGAGAATGAATGAGATTTCAAATTCATATGATTTTTAATTATAGATTAGTCAATAATTATATCTATTAAGTCTTAAACTTTCTTATTGGTATTTCAAGAAATCAAAACCAGATTTCTTCAAGTTTGACTTTGTTTAAGATTCTTATTGGAATTCTTATAAGAATTAGTATGTACAATGTTCATCTTAGCTGCAGAGTTCAAAATCTTCTCCCCAAATAAAACAAAACACTTTCTCTACAATTCATATCCAACACAATACTAAGCACCGGCTTTAGAAACACTTACGTTTTGTTGGTTGATTTTTTTGTGAAATCACAATGTGTTTTCAACAAAAGTCCACATAGCACAACTAAGTCAAAATACGTCACACCAACAGTTGGAAGTCTCAACTCTTTCAACAACACACAATGTCCGAAAGTCACCAAAAAATTATAAAATGCGAAACACAGTCAGCTACGCCCAAAAATAATCTTTTGAGTTGTCCGTGTGAAATCAAAACAAAAACATTACACCAAAGTACACAAAACAAGTTCACGATCGTTCCTTGGTTACTTTAAAAAAAAATAAAAAACAAAGAAATTATTGAATGTCACAATTATCGAGAGTTCACTATTCACAATTGATTATCGGGATGGATGGTTTCGATTAGTTATTATTACGTAAGGTATATTGACGGGTGCGGAGCGACGAGGCCGCGAGCGCGCGTCGTAGTCGCGACACGACTGCAGTGATCCTTCGAAGCCCCACCAACACTACGCGCGCATCTGAGGCTCGTTCCTTGGCGCGGCCCCGCCCAGTGGGACGCTACTCGGTAGCTAAGATGACCGTGGCCCTCCTCCTCGCACGCGGACGAAACTACTCGCCCCATCTCACTCCCCCGCGGCGACAGTGGGGCGCGCCAATAGGATCGGTTCGGCGGATCGAGTCGAGACGATGAATCGAGATGTGTACTTAGGTATCACTGCACAAGTCCTTTTGTTGTAGTCGATAATAGGATGCGCTTTTTTTTTGCGGCGCGATCGACTGCCCGCTTCTTGGACGCAACCTCGGATGCGTTTATTTGTTTACATTATAAGATGCACCACAACTGTTGACCAAAACAAACAAGCGTACCTTATTATTTCGTTGCACAAACTAATTCACATATTTTTGCTCCGTATTGAAATGTATAAATTGAGAAAATCAGCTCGTTGCATTTATGAAATGTTTAATTGGTGATGATAGCATAAAAAAATACAGCGAATAAAAGGGGAACAGGTTTTATAAAAAAAACTGCACCTCGTACTCACTTTACCTTGAAATAATAGAAAGTGCGAAAGTGTAAGGGCAAGCAAGACGCGTAGGGTGATCGTCTCAGTTGCGGGCAGGGGTGGGTGAACTCGGTAGGGCGCAGATGTAGGTCAGTTTTTGTTTCCCGCCGAAATTCGGTTACTAGGTTTGCTCGTGCTATCTTTTGAGTAGTGCCAGTTATAGGTGAACTTACCTTACATCTTCTGCGCTAATTAGGCGAGACTGCGAGAACTTTGTTAAGATTTTTTTTGTTTTTTTTTTATCGTAGCAAGTGACAACTGCAGTTGTAGTTCTTAACGCTATAAGGAATGTAATTGACCTCTGCAACGAGTTCTCACGAACTTGCAACTTTTGTTTAGAATTTCGGTGCTTAATAAAACTTTGTAGTCATTTTGAATTGAGACACATAAAATCTGGATTCGATATTCTTTGGAAATTCAAATAGCCATTCAAGGGCTTTCACATATTTAAACTGTTTAAGCTGCAACCATTAAAAACTTTTTAAGGCGTTGTTGGTAAAAGCTTTGCGCTTCCCCTCGCCGCTAGATGGAGCCACGCGTCGATTTTCCTTCATTTCCCTAACATTTTCCGAGCGTGGGGTGACTCGGCGTTAGAAATAGCCGTTTAGAGGAAAATGGTTCGTATCTTTGTAGGTTTTAAACGAGAACCAAACTGTATTGCGGTTACGGGAGACTCTATCGTTTGAAAAGGTGGTTATTTTAAAAATATACATAGTTTTTTTTATTACATTTTGATTAAATGAGTATGGTGCTAGAAATTATGGTTTTTAGTTTTTTCGAGATATTTTGTTAATGTTTGGAAATAATTACTTGAATACTTGGCAAGGTAATTAATTTATCTCTACATTTTTTCCAAACATTTTGAAAAGACAAGCAGTGAATTTTTTTTGATTCAAAGTTGTAAATATAGTTTTACGATACTTCAGTTAAGTGTATTAGATACCACTGAAGGCTAGACAGAACACGATATATTTTTTTCACTATTTTGAGAAAAAAAATCTTAGGAACGTTTGTTTTTTTACTAAATTTGTCTGCTTTTCAAGTTTGTTTTTATTTGAAAAGTTTATACTTTTATTAAGGTATATAATGTTTATGTCTAATCAGACATATTGCTTTAAATAACTAACATTCTTCAAATGCCAATGTGACTGCGTCCATACTTCACAATCAATATAAACGTATATCGTGCATGTGTTAAAAGCTTTGTTGGTAATTTGCAATCAATAATCTTTAACGGAAACTCAAAATTTTTAATTCAGAAACTCGACGAAGTTTTTAAAAAAAATAAAGAAGAAATTTTTTTTTTTCAATAGTAGAAACTCTTTTTTTCGTCTCTACTCAAGGCTAAACTTTGAGTCTTTATTTTCACTTGGCTAAAATAATGCATTAAATATCTGACTATTACCTTTTTTTTTGTTAATATATAAATAAATATCTTGATAATCTGTCTGTTCCTCCTATGGAAGGATATTGGAATACCATATTACAGCGTCTATGTATTAATTTGGGGCGACAGAGTATCGTTAGATTACGTGGAATTTTCCCGCGCAGATACTGAAATTGTATCGACTCTATATATAGTTTTCATATTTCAATCTTTTAATTTTTAGCATGAAAGTGTTTGACTTTTTACAGGCTTTTTATTGACTTGCACTGTTCGTATGTATTGAAATGAATGAATGAATTTTCTAACATTTTTTGGTATATGATTGAGTTGAAATTTTGCATTTTATTATAACAATTTTAATGTATTTTATTGATGATATTTTTTTTCCAACCCTGAAATATGAGAAACTTTGAATTGAAAGGTCCTGAAGAGAAAAAAAAACAATAATGTTTTTCACAACAGATTTTTTATGAAGTATGTAAATTTTTGGTTTGCAGAAAATTTATTGGTTTTCATACATACGTACTTTCATTCTTTATTTGAATCAATTGTTTAATTATACGCGTTTCCGCAAAATCCCTAGGACTTTCGCGAAAATTTGAATTAAAAAATTGAGTTCGGCATCCAGGTAGCAGATACCTGTATATGGAATATTTTCTGGTAAAATTTCCTTTAGATTTGAACATCTCAGTTGAATGCTTAAATAAATATAATAAATAAAAATTTATTTGTTATTTAGGTTTTCACGCACATTACTCATTAAATACAACAAGTTTCAACGGTATAGATGTACCGATTTATTTATTTATGACGTTTCGCATCCTTTTCAGGAGCCGTCGTCAGAATTATAATAATTGAAATAAAAATAAATTGAGAATTTATTTATAAATAAATGAATCAATGCATCTTTACCATTGAAACTTGTTTTATTTAATAAATTTTTAATTAGTTCTTTCGTGATAAACAGGGATGATGACTATTTTTTTTCTTCGTTCATCAGGTAGATTATCAAAAAGTGTTGGACACGTATTTTTTCTTTTTTCACATAATATAAACATTGCAGAGATATATTGATTTGAAAAGTCGCATGACGTCACGTTTTGGTACAATATTCAGTTAAAAGTGACGTCACGAGCCCCTACTCCCAAACTTTGACGCTATAACTTTGTCATTTTTTGGTTGATTGCCCAAAGAAAAAATACGTGTCCATTATTTTTTGATCATCTAACTGACGGACTAAATAGAATTTCGATTATTGTACCCCGTCATCAACCCTATATAGACGATAGCTTGACTGGCGATAATTTGACACGCATAAAAGAGGTTGTGGGAGACGAGGAATTTGTATGTGCAACTGGAGGAGCATTTTAGTGCATTTTAGTACCATATCCTCAGCACGCAGGTGTGGTGGTATAAGCATGAGGGTAACTCAAGAATCATACAGCTTAAAGTCAGATATAGAAATTTGACAGTTCTAGATGGTTTGACTGATGAGTGTGGGTAGTTAGGTTCTCTTAAAAATCTCTTCAGCGGTGTCGTGTGAAGGGGGTCGTTACATTCTCAAAAAAATGGTTGAAGGAAGCGATGGTTGGTTCATGCGTCATGCTCGGGAACGGATGCTGCCAGCGGAGATGAGTTAGCTCTTGCTACATTGGGGACTATTAATGTATTTAACTTTAAACGTATGTTTTATGCCTAAACAGTAGGACACGGCATTCCTAAACTTTGTTAAAAAAATATATATTTTTTTATTGTAATTATAGTCATAATTGTTATATCATTTGTAATGGAAAATGACTTCATGAGTTATCTCACATTGAAGTCTGTTTTTCAATTTGACGACTTTGTAAACAATACAGGGAGAAAATAACAGGCTTTGCTGAGTTTCTTGCCGGTTCTTCTCCGTACAAGGTCTCCCGCCGTAGATTTGCGAACCGATGGTGTAGCTTTTTAACATTCACAAGTGCTTGTAACAGTCTAGACTGAATAAAAGATATTGAATTGAATTGACTCATACTTCAATAAGCAACAGAAACCACAAATTCAGCTATTAGAAATTAGACAGTTCTGATATAATTATAATTGCTTAAAGTAATATATGAATTAATTTTAAAATTATATTTTTTATTACCTTATTTAAATTTTCTATCTATCTTAAATTGTTATCCTATTGTAATTTTATCAAATTTTAAATTAATATTTGTACACATTAATTATAATTTGCAATGCCCTTGCAGGGTTCGTGTTTGCGAGCTGTTATTAAATTTAAGAACTAAATGTAACCAACATGAAGCGAATAAATATTATGACTATTATACTTAAATCCGTCGCTGTCCGTAATAGATTACGTTCCAATTTTCTATTGTAACATCTCGCAATCCGGCACCACTCTATTGTTGTGCCGGCACCGCGGCACTGTGCGCAGGAGTCGATCGTGCGCCAGTAATTATTACTTACCCGCCAGCGGTAACGATTTGCTTTCATTATGGTGCCGCTATGGTCGTGTCTTACCCACTGATGTTTGTCGCGAACTATTTCAGAAATTATTAATTGTGAATTAGGTACAGTCTGTTCTGTGCCTCGAAAAACAAACTTAGAATTTTTACAGCATCACTTTGTTGATTTATTTTTTGGAATCCCAACAGCTATTAATAAAAATAATAAAAACTTAATTTATAACAAAAAGCCAATTACAGGTCTTCACCAACAAAAATACATTACAACATAATTAAGTACATTTTGATGCTACTGATTTTATTCGTCATATTTTGAAGTTGTAAGTATGTTGTAGAGAACATTGCTACTACTATTTTGCTACTTTGGGTTTCATTAGGCTCAAGGTCGCACAGTGGGCAATGGAGAGAGCGATGCTTGTTATCTCCCTGCGTGGTAGAATCAGAAATGATGAAATCTGCAGGTGAACTAAGGTAACCGACATCGCTCGAAGGATTGCTCAGCTGAACTGGCAAAGGGTGGGACACATAGCGACGAGAACTGATGGCCGTTGGGGTGGAAAGGATCTCGAATGACGGCCACCCACCGGACCACGCTCGGT